TTCAATTCCAAGAACTAAAACAACAAACATTTTTTTTTGTTAAATACACACCCTCTCCAAAAAGCACATGTCACATCTTTATTGCAGTACCGTACAAACTCACTTGGATATTAAACAGTATACTCAAGTTTTTTTTATGAGATTCAGCTTAATTAACTTGTTTTAAAGGGCACGTTTAGAAATTAAAATATCAAATGCAACCAATTTCGAATTCGAGCAAGTTATCCTTCTCTTTTTTTCCTAAGATATGTATTCCTTTTTTGATTATGGTCTTTAATCTGGTAATATCCTCAACAACAATAACAACAAGAAATCGATGATTTGCAAATTCATCTTTAATTCTCGCAAGCAAAAAGCAATGGAAAAAAGAGAAATAATATATAGAGAATAACGAGCATTGACGCAGGCTTCATGCCACACATCCTCTAAAATGAATTTCTACAGAAGAGACACATAAATTTTATCATTTGTTTATCATCTTTTGAAAAGATTCTCTCTCTCTCTCTCCCCTCCCTCTCTCTCTTCCGCGATTTGTTATTTTAAACTACCATTTCTGTAGTCCTACTCTACGTCCTTTCGCATTTCATTGATTCTTTTTTTCAAATACCACATGTATGCATTCAACACTACTTTTCCAATGTTAGTATAGTGGACTAAACGTTACTTATTAAACTTTTGAGATCTTGAAATTGTTTTCAGAGTTATTACTTCATAAAAAGAAACATACCACGTTGACAAACATGCCAATTTTACAGCTGATTTCAATAACATAACAGTATTTAATTTTAACGAAATGTTTATTATTCTAGCAAACAGTTTTCAAAACATTTCAAATGCCTTGATATAGAGTGTATATTTAGAAACATGGGTACATTTTTGTTTGTTTGGATGATGTCTAGATGATTTTTATTTGTATGGAGGCACCACAAAATGCCAGTAAAAGTCTGAAAATTTAACACGGCTATTGAGGAGTGCTTGAACTTTTTCGTGCTAGCACCTACTGCAACATGTGACTTTTGTTAATAAAATATCTTTAAAAGTCTTGTCTTTAACCCCTACTGTGGGATCCACTCCTTTCTTCGCGATCATAGAGCTGACGCTTTACATACTGCACCACGCGGGATACATGAACATTTTAAAAATTATTTATGTTTCAAAAGAACGTAAATCGGATTTAGATAATAACATTACTGCTTCTCTGGGAAAGAATTCTTTGGAACAGAACTAGAATCTACAAACACATACAATTACAAAAAAATATTTCAGACTTATTGGATCAAGAAGGGATACAATAGAACATATCTGAAAGGAATCAAAAGTTTGTGTTCAGATTTCAGAGGTCTCCTTCAAAGTTTAACTATTTTACAATTTATAATTAGAAGAACCACAAAAATCATCACGAATTATCTGGCTTGCATAATAGAATCGTGTTCCTTTCTTCCCCAAAATAATTTGACTAAAATCGTACCTGTGAAATGCATAATTTTTACACTCAAAAAGCTCCAAATCGTACCTTCTTAGCCATAGTTTACTATTTTTACATGTAAATAAAATGGATATGGTAAAGTATATTTTTAAACAACTAAATAACTTTTTTGCTAGTACATGTAAATGTTTTGTTAAGGATAATATGCATGAATTAAATAGCATTGTGTCATGATGACATCACAATTAACTCTTCTTATTTGTTTACAGATGTCAGCAATTACACTTATCTCTCTATTTTTTCTTGCAGACGTAATCAAACTGATGATTAAACGGAAAAGCGTGCCACTGCCAATTGCTATTTTTTTTTTGTTACTTTTAAAAGCTACTACGCAGTTTTCATTTCTTCCTCCACTTGGTTGACCTTTGACCCAATTACCATTTCTTTGCTGTTGTTGTTCTGATACATGTAAAAGAGCAGCATCACAAAGGAATAAATATCTTGGGAGAAAAAACGAGAAAAAGACTTGCAACGAATTCGAAATTGTTTGGATATTATATCTTTTTCTACCTTTTAACACATTTAGTAAAGCTGAATCTCATTAAAACTTGAGGGTACTGTTTAATCTCCTGGTGAATTTTTACAGTACTGCAATTAAAAAGCTGAATTTGATTTCTTTTTTTTTTTGAAGGGGAGGGTGTATATTGGTTGAAAAAAAAAATGTTCTCCATGATGGAGTTATATTAAAAGCAAGGACTTATGTTTTATTTTCACTAGTTTAACCTTTCTAAATAAAAGACCATGTCTTTTTTTTAAATAGGATACAATTACATTTTCAAAAGGATATATATGTAAAACATTCATTGCATCTATTTATAGTCTTCTTCAGAACAACAAAGTCTGCATTGCCTTTAGCATCCTGAGAATTTATTGAAAATTTTATTTTCTAGAACAGCAGAGATATAAATATTTCATATTTATATGGAAGCATCTTTTACAAGCGTAGAATCCATTATGTTCAAATTATGACCCCCAAGAATAGAAAGGTAAATAGAAATAGAAAAGAAAATAGAAAATTATTTCTACAGTAACACGTATTTTAAACTCGATTACGTCTGAGAATTATGAACAGTACTGCAAATATTCAGCTAATTAAATATCTTTAGAGCTTATTAACTTGAATGTGTGATTTTAAGGTAGATCGCGGGTTTGCTGACGTCACAATAGGATTTGACGTAAAAAGCTTCCCACGTTCAAATTAGCAAGCAAAAAATATCTTCAGCAGGGCTAAAAGTGAAATATATATTAAAGGTTGTTTGATGTATTTATTTTTTTGTATGTAATGAGAATAAATGATGTTTGGATCAAGGTTGTCTTTTAACTGTAAGTAGTTTTTAACGCTGATATCTGTTGTGCGTACACACCTTTCTAAAATGTCATTGTCTAATTGTTAATACAATGCAAAACAGATCCACCGCCGGTGTATCTGGCGCCTGCCCTGCAGTTAATTTTAATTTTTTTTTGTTCACTTTTATGAATTTTGTTTTGTTTGTTTAATTTAGTCTCCATACTAATCTACTTTTATTTGTTTTACAAAATTGTCTTCATGATGATGCACGCCTAGATTGGTAATATTTTTTATGCGCAACAATATTGTCTCAATCTGACTAAAGCCAGACCTCTATTTACGCTATCGCATATTTAATTTATAAAAACAATACAGTACAGCAAAATACATGTTTCTATCAGATTCCAAAAGAATGGTACTCGGATATATGGTATAACAGTTTTATAAATCAATTTATATCAACGATGTACAAAATTATGCAAGTGATTAATAATGTATAGTAGAACAGAAGGATTCATTGTATGATAAATCATTCTGCTCCAAAATTATAAAAATGCATTTATTTTGCTAGTAGACACATTTTCATTAGTTCACTACAATTATTACCTTAAGAGTGCATCCTCCATGCATCAATACCAATCCAGACAAGTACTGAACTAAGGACATTTCTTGGGATCTTCCATGCAGGATTTGTGACACAGAATACATGACATACTGAAATGGTTTCTCACTCACTTGTAATGGGACATCTGATACCATCGCTGATACTGTCTTTAAGACATTTGGTGCTCTTATTTTCAGCTCAGAATACATACTGTCTCATGTAAATTCTAAAACATTGTTGCTTGATTTATCTTGAAGAACACTACCAGAATTTCTCTTGCACAGATTTTTGCATTCATCACCTGCAAAAGATGCAAATTAAAACTGTAAACAAGTCTAATCTGATTATGATTTCATATATTAATTAGAATTTTTTATCTTGATCTAATCACATGGCAGAAAGTAGTACATATGCATTATAAACATAAGTTGAATTTATTAACAGACAAAATCAAACCAAAACATGCCGAATTTCAACTTAATTAATATGAATATATACTCAAAGCCTTGATGTATCAAATTTGTTATTTCTGGTTTTTCTATTTCCCAAGTGAGCAATGCAGACATGTTCACTTCTTACCTAAAACTGATAATGACCCCTCAATTAATATGCTGGGATTTGTAGTCTTTAAAAAGTCTCTCAGTCCTCGATCCACTTCTTTTCCTCTAAAAACAATCTTGCAGATCTTTTTCTCATTCTCATCAATGATAAACCGACTTTTTCGACCACTTGGATAGTATATGCTGAGCTGAAAGTAAATTAGAATATATGTCAAAACTCACAAATATTTCATGAACATATTCATAAACTCATACTAATTCATTTTTTTACTTCTTTGATGTCAAAGCATTTTCATTTCCGTTTGACAGTTTGTAATATCTTTCTGTCCATCTCAAATAGTCTGTTTCCCTTCCATTTGATAACAATTAGTGATATAATCATGTAATAGGTTCAAATCTTTTTACATATACCTTAAATCACAGTTGAGTTTATTTACAAATCCAGGTCTGAATTCATATCTGAAAAAACAACAACATGCACATGCAAAAATAAAAAGCAATAAAACTGGTGAACATAATATATCACATGCTAAATTTTGCAACAACTAGTATCTACATGTACAATTGTATAATCAATGCAAGAAAGCAATAAAAACTAGTGAACTTAATATATTACATGCTAAGTTTTTACACCAACTAGTAACTACATGTACAATTGTATAATCAATGTATAATGAATGAAAATCTAAAAATGCTTTGAATATATATAAGAGTCAACTGGTAAATTGGAAATAATCATGTTAAGTAAACATGTGTAACAATCAACAAGTTAGTAGTAACTTTTGAAATTTCACGAACAACTCTTTTTCTAAGTTAACCTCAACTGACCCATCTAATGATGTTATATGAATGTCATCGAGTTCTTTATTTGAAATCCCAAAATCTAGAGATCGCTTAGATCCTTGTATTTTCATACTAGACGTACTAGATGTAATATCTAGGAAGAAAAATCCAAAGTTGACTTGCAGTAGTAAAATAATTTTCTAGCATATTTTATTTCTAATTGACATTTACAAAATACAAGATGTGATTGTATTCCATGGCAAAACAATGCTTAGTTATTATATGATTAATTCACCACACTGTCAAAATTAATATGATTAAGTACATGAAGTATGTGAATAAAGAAAGGTGGCCAAATTTATTCATTCGTAGAATTCACAACCTCAAACTTTTTAAGCATACCTTGTTTCTCCTTTGGTGCAATAGGGATACCAGTAAATGAACTACAACTAGGCGGTTGATATGTAAGAGGCAGCTGTCAATTCAAAGTAAATATAATGTTAATATATTGTAGCTGAAGTGCAAATTAGCAAAAATAACGAGTTTAATTGCTGTGGGTTTCTGATCAAAGTACTAACATCCTTTCAATATGAGTGAAAGTTCATTCTTCATATTTTAATTAAACACCTTTTAATTTACAGGAATGAAATAGCTACTGAAATGAAAATATCAATGAGGTTTTTATGGAAGATCAAGTACACCAGGGATAACCACATAATGACTATGTTGTCATGTATGTCAAAATGTGTATGTCAAAATGTGTGTGTTTTTGTTTATGTTCAGTATTTGTTAATAGCATAAAAAACAATAGACATGCATCATTTCTTAATCCGAGATACCTTAGATTCGAACCCCTTTCTTACACTATGACAGAGGAATTTCGGATTAATTATTTTTTTCTCTATCTATATACACTGTATATATAATATAATATCGTGATCTATTATTACCTCTGTTTTCTGCAAATCTGTTCTATTTGTCAAATCTTTGAATGGTGCTATTTCCACGAGCTTGCCGTAGGATACGTCGAAAGTCTGCTTTTTTGAAGATGGCAAGGACGGGCTCCTAAGCATCCGTTTAGTTATGGACTTTCTCCGAGGGGAAAGCAGCTGCAACGTGAGTGTTTGTATTGTTCTCTGTGCCACCTCGCGAAACCTCTGTTTTATTTGCTCATTTTTGGATTCGGTTTTCATTATAGATTCAACTGATCGATAACACTTTTTATACACACCTGCATTTGTTGTGACATCAATGTCTGTCAGTCCTGTTAGTTGTTTTATGTTATCTATTCTTTCGGTGTTTAGTCTTAACTTTGTCTCGAAAAACTTGTGAACCTTTTCCTCACCATTTTCTTTTCTTTCAATCTGTATAAACGAAAATCCGCAGAGGATACAAGTGTCCGATAAGACACATGTCTTCCGAGGTGTGGAAGTCGCCATGTTTACGTTTATCGGAATAAATCGGGCATGTCATCTATACTAACAGAAATGACAAAACAAAAATTCCAGACTTTGGAAAAGAAGTCGCGATTTGATTGGTCCATTCAAAGTTCACCAGAACATGACCTCTAATTGGGAGTTATCAGATCCTCTATGCGATAGCGTAAATAGAGGTCTGGCTTTAGTCAGATTGCAGTTCCTCTATGCGATAGCGTAAATAGAGGTCTGGCTTTAGTCAGATTGATATTGTCTGAGCCAAGTACAGGTAAAAGATTTTCAAAACAATAAAGAAATGGACAATGTACGTTACGTCAAAATGCTTAATGAAGTATCATTTGTACATGAGTTTCTCTTACTGATGATTTTTTTTTTCTTTGGGAGGGAGGTAAATTAAATAATTATCACCAGGAGAGACGTTAATGATTTAGGTAACGTCACCAAATATTATAGTTTGCAGTTAAGTGTAAAGTTTTACGTTACGTCACAATCTAGTTGACAGCTGCACTCAAGGTAAATTGTAAACGCCTCTTAACCGCAAGCTTTACGACTGGAACTTTCTTCCTATCCCCGATTGGTTGCTCGTGCAACAGACTATTTCCTTTTCAATGTTGATAATATGAGTTGACTAATCACGTGAATTGTTTACGCTGGATGCATATGACGAAAACGATCGTGACATAACGCAAAACTTTACACTTAACTGAAATTAATAATAAAATATGTTCGTCCAATAAATTGTCATCTATAACTCAGACCCTTTTATTAATGACAATTAATAGCGATTCGGCATACAACTGCAATGGATGGGGTTTTTTTTTTTTTGGGGGGGGGGGTGGGTGTCAAGGCAAGAGTTGCAGGTCCGTAGGAAGCAATTTCAGTTCGAGGCACAGCTACTCGTATAAATTTTTAGTTGGGGGTGTTATGAACAACCAAAAATTCCTTGACAAGCATAAGAAAGGAGGGGGTGTTAGGCGTTTTAATTGAGGCGACAATAGCATATAGTAGTAATTTTTCTGTAATAGTATCAATAGCTGTTTTCTAGAGTATACTGTATCCTTTCTATAGTATTCTATATATCGGTAAAGTAATGATTAGAAATGGCCTTTACAATATAATGTTAATTCAGGGATATAGACAAAATCAATTCTTTCTATATGAAGTATAAATGTATACAATGTAGGTCATAAAGCTACTTTAATATTTCCGATTTAAAATCGGGTACATTTTATTAATAGATAAAAATGATGCAAAAATCATACATGTATATGTTTGAAAATGTTCTCAAATCCGGTAAGATGTTTTTTTTCCTTACACCCATGTACATTTGTTATAATTTTTCTGCACCCCTAGCCGTGTACCTTTATTGCGAGAAAAATGAAAACACATTACATTGAAATTGTGCCACGCTATTGTTTAACTATGGCAATGATTTTATGGGGAAACTGAATTTACGGATTGCATGTTTTATTTTGATTATTAATTCATTTTTTTTTTAAGTAATGCAGGTATACAAAAATAATGACGTCGCACCAACGTAATATAACGTCGTTATGAAAATATAATACTTCTGATGAAAAATAGTAAAACTTTAAAGATTTTTTTGGCAAGAAATTGAGTGAGAACACATACTATTTTTTTTTTAATAAATGGATTCTAAATTTACTTAACATGCATTGTATCGAGTAATATAAAATTTGTCTGCTTCGTTTTAATGTTATGATTATGGTTTTGAAATGAGTATACCGACAGAAAACTGACATTTTACTATATATTTTATTGAAAAAGCGTCATCTGTTCTCAACAACATAAGCACATTTGAATTGCAATTACAATCTAACCACGCACGCGAATCTCAAAACAATTTTAGAAAGAAAAATTCAAAACTAGAGGAGTTAGGTGACAATTTTTAGCCCATGTTTTCAGGCAAACAGTAAACCTGCGATCTATCTTAAATTTTAGAAAAGACCAACTGTTTGAAATAGTCTATTATTAGAGAAGGGAAATTCTTTCTTCACCGTAACTAAATATATGTTTGCCATTCAGTATGATTAAGAGCCCCCCCCCCCCCTCCGGGTGCTTTGTGCCTTTTCTCCCGAAATAAATTTCTTAGTAAGTATTTTCAGTATTTTTTAATTAATATTTAATGTGTATTGTATCACAAGAACATAAGACTTAAAAACCAACGTCAAACAGTCTTTAAACAATAGTATTTCAAAATATACATGTGCCGACAGTAGTATTTTAAATTGGCAGGGAATATGTTTCAAATTCAGTTTAAAACTTAATCCTCCTAAGTATAAAGTCCCATTATTTATTTTTTTTCTGAAGGAATGTAAAAATCAGATCTAAAAATGATACAGAAAACTTCTTGGAAATACTAAGTGACACTTTGCCTTCTGCATTTTCGGTGAAACGCGATTCCCACACCTCCACTGTGTCGAATAATTTTGATTGACAGGACAAGAGCGTGGACTTCCTGTGAACCGTGTGAACTTGATGAAGGAAAATAAAAACCAATGATTACTGTCATAATTGATTACCTAACTGCTTTGAATATTTAGAAAAAATAATAAGAATTCTTATTTGATACAACAGATATCTGCTGAGAATCGAAAGGTTGTCTCTCCCCTCCCCCTCTCTCTCTCTCTCTCTCTCTCTCTCTCTCTCTCTCTCTCTCTCTCTCTCTCTCTCGTTCATTTCTCTGTTCAATAAAAATAATGACAGGAAATTCCTTACTTAGTTTTGAGAATTTAAACTATTACAAAAATTTTGAATGCCTCTTTCCATCATCTTGACCGAGTATAATCATGGCCCGCAAATGTCTACATGTACATGTAGAAGTTAGTTAAAATAATCATCATAAAAAAAATACAAAATACACATAAATATAGAATATTTGGCATCAGAATTAAAAAACGAGAGTTTTTATGCAAAACATCAAAAGACAATTGTGAATTTTGAAAAAAAAATTCTGTTATTTTACTCAGAATCGCCTTGGCACCGAAATACATGTATGGTTGTTTCAACCGCATACAATGTAATAAATTCATTGTATAAATAGTTTTGTCTTCTAAAGTCCACATTATTTTATTAGCGAAAAGAATAAATTTAGAATTTAATCTACACGCGTCCGGTAACAAATACACATATTTTATGGTAATTAAAATCGTGTTATAAAAGTATTGATTTAAAGCATACATGTAGGTACATATATGTACAGAAAAAAATGTATTTATTATTTATTAAGGTCTTTCGTTTCCAACGGAAGACCTTCTACTGATTCTGATGGTAAAGATTATTATTCTTTTTTTTTCTTCTACTTCCTAGACCGCAACTTTGAGGCCTCATATCTCACTCATTTCTGAACGGATTTCGCTCAAATTTTCAGAGGTTATAGACGTTTATAAACTCTACCAGAATGCTGACTAAAATTTCAAAAAGTCACTTCCGGTTTTAGTTATTTCCCTTTGAACGAAAATTTATAGGCTTTCGTTTCCGGATAAAGGCTCAGAGACCACAAAAGCTGAAGCAGAATTTTTACTGATTTTAGGTAACAGAAGGATTGAAGTTGTGCACATCGGTTTTTGTTTTTCGATTTCTATATTCACAATGGCGCTATATAGGGGTCAAAAATTAGAACGCCTAAAAGAGCGAAAATTTACACATATTTTCCTTTTTATCTTGAAAACTAAAAATATTTTGTTAAGACATAATGAACCAAAGTTGTGCATAATTTCAAGGGCTTTCGTATAATATTATTCAAAAGGGGCTGGCCCCTATAATTAGGGATCAAGGGACTTTGAAAGTTTTTGCCTTATAACTCAAAAACGGTAAATATTTCGAATTGACTATCGGTTATAAAGTTGTGCTTTAACATCTTACTGATCTCATGAAATTATTATTGGGTTCGAGTTTTAAATGAGCTGTTGCATGACCTATATATGCACAGGTAATTCTTTTCACTCAGCACGTAAACGAGAGCTTCTCATGCTAGTAACCAAAGCAAGCTTACTATAAATAATAAACATGGCTACATGGGATGCTACTATTCTTCAGAATAAAGTTCTCGAAGTGTTTGTGCTTTTTTTCTTACAAATTATCATGTTTATTCACTGACAACTTTCCCTTTTATTTCATTTTTTTAAGAATCGTATAAACCAAGTCTACTAAAAAGGGAAGAAAATATCATCTTTTCTTCTTATCACATAAAAGCAAACAATATAGTGAGAAAATAAAACATAACTAAAAAGCACATATACTATTCACAGCCATTAAGGGTACGGCTTTATCATACACAAAAAAAACCCACCACAGAATGGTTAAATTAATTCTTGATAAAATTGTTCCTTCTTATACTATCTCTGTCCCATGAATATATTATTTTGTTCGAGTCTTACGTATGGTAGGAAAGAAAGTTAGATCCGTATTCACCGTAAACAAGGCTCCAGTCTCATTTTGATATTGAAGAACTCTTTATGCGTATAATTGAAATAAACTTGCCGTAAGTAATAAATATTTTACCACGCTGTATCATATCTCTTTTTTAAATTAGGTTTTAAACGTGTTCTTTGTTTCCCGTTCAGAGCATTCAATGGTATCTTTTTCCTTTTATTAATAAAGATCTTTCCAAGAGAAAGAGTAATAGAAAAAAAGTACGAGTATCTTTTATTCGTTTAGATATGAACATAAACAATATGAACGGAAACAATATACGCCCGGATTTCATTAAAAAAAAAAAAAAAAAAAAAAAAACTTTTAAGAGTCAAATAATACACAATTATTTACTGCGCGATTCTCATATTCACCTGGAACCAAGATTGTTTTTTTAAAGTGTGTTTACCATTACGTAATCTATCTTTCGATTACACGCTGCCGAGAAATTCTAAAGCGACACACCGCGGTGAACCATTGACCCCGAAGTCATAGACAAATAATTGGTATATACAAAATTTAATCTACAACAGTAAGAAAATATTATTTTCTCTAAGTAAATTAAATCTTTCAAAAATATCTTAAAATGTTTTAGGTTTGACTTTAGTACAAAACGCTGGGGCATTTATTTTACATTAATCAGTCTTCAATTCTTAAATATTCGTTTGATCCATGTGTAATTTGACGATTCATAGCGCAAGGACTGACGATCTGCAGTTACTTTACTTCAACCAATATTCATTAAAATGCACAAGCTTTGCTCTTTTCACACACAAATAAATCCGTTTTCAACACAAGTTTTCCGAAACACATTTTTTTATCACAGATATTAACCATGGCTATACCAATTTTAAACTTTTAAAGAGAATCTTCAGAATCGTAAGGATAGAATTATACTCAATGAAATAGACTAAACATCGATAAGTAACACCGGCACGTGTAAACTTCATAAGTGACTTCTGTGCTGCACACTGTCTATAAATTTATATTACAGGTTTTATAGTAAAGTTCAAGAAATAATGATTTTAAAGCAATGAACTTAATTTGTTTTATAATTTATTTAAAACCCGTATAAATGATAAGTATAATGTACTTTTACAACCTAAATTAAACTGTTAAAATCATAACCGGCACCAAAGTCAAACCATTTGTATCGTTTACCGTATATAACAGTATTTTCTTTAAAATGATGAACTTATATCTAGCGCAAATTACTTTCCTTGGTTTTAAAAATACGCGTACGAGAGAAAACGAGTGAGAGGCATTTTATTCAAGTACATTCAAGTTTTTACCAGCGAGTCCCTGTATCAAGTATTGTCTAATTTTTATTAAATTTAATATAATCTCTCTTTCCTATTTAAATTTAATTCATTTGATGATTTTATTCAACTTCAAGCACAATATCATTATGTAGTAGTAAAATGAAGTCCATGCACGGATGCTATTGTACATCGGGAATTTTCTTTAATCCTTTATCCATGCATTCCTCCTTCAAGGAAAATAATTATGAATGAATTGATTGAATAATGTATAAAACCATGTGGTTTCGGTTTGTCAACGTGTTTTAGATCATGATCAGCAAATCACAACTCCTCGGGTCTTCCTGTCTAACAGAATAATAACCTCGAATGTATTACGTATACATCATGACATCTCCATGCTCCTCACCCCCTTTACCCAAACTTTGAAATAAATGAGGAAAGATATTTGATTTGTGAACTTTTGAATTTTAATTTTATTGAAAGTAAAGCTATTACTGGTACCCTAAAATACGTATTATGGAAAGGACTTTCAACCCCGTCTATCTTTCATAAATAGAAACTCCATGTTGTTTGAATATTAATATCCGGTGATGTTTTAAAATACCTCAATGTTGTTTTTCTGACCTGTGACAAAATGGTGCGAGATAATGCAAATTTCAAACATCTTCATCGGCCAATGACAGAAAAGTTGTAAAATTCCTGTCAGGGTTATGAACTTCTAATCACTAAAAGGTGTTTGTCTTGACACAGAGCCAACTGAAGGTTATTCTGTTAAGATCAAGGTCACTGATAGAAGAAATCTTTTCTTTACTACGCTATGAATTAGTAAATGAAAATCATTGGAGGCTGTTACTTGAAACATACATTACTTATGATTGGAGGTTTTGTCATGACCCTGATCAAATGTCTTTTTGGGCAAATCAAGGTCACTGACAAAGAAAAAAACGTTTAAGCATAACTTTATAATTAAAATTTACTGGAGGCTCATGCTGGGAAGAAAGGTTGTTGACACAAGAAAGTGCAGTGATCTTGACCCAAGGTCTGTACTTCCTGTCCACAGCTCCAACGGAAGACCTACTCGTTGCTTTGCAACGAGCTCGGCTCTAGTTTATTTCTTTATTATTTATTGTTTATTTATATTAAAGCACCTGAAATTAGGATTATAGAATAATTTTAATGCAAGGAATAGATCGGAGGCATTCCGCATAAATTGTTCATCTTGCATTCACCATTCGTTCACCTTGCACTTTGCGCTCGCGTTCGCGCTCCGTTCGCGTTCTGCGTTCACCCACCGTTCACCGTTCACATATCGTTCACAAAGATGCGTTCAGCATTCGCACATCGTTCACTCACCGTTCGCTCTGCGTTCGTTCAGCGTTCGTTCACCGTTCGTTCACCGTCCAGGTAGAACGTTTCAGGGACTGCAGTTAACATTCTAATACGCAATCAGCAGAGGAGTCTTGTTAAACCAGGCATGGAGACCATAAACTGAAAACAGACTTTTGCCAAAATTTTGATTTCAATAACTTGTAATTTATAAAATATACAATATCTAAAATTTGCAGGTTTGTATAACATTCCAATTAAAACAAACATGTTATCAAAATAATTTCAACAGTTACATTGATTCCAAATTTTGATTGAAGTCTGTTCTCATTTTATGATATTAGGGCCATGCATTGATAACTGATAATGTGAATATATAATCTTCTTTCCTAATTTTATGAGGATCAGAATCAGCTTTTTAAGTGTTGTTTACATAAACATTTTTTATCATAAAAATCAATAAAAAATCATAATTTTATATTTTACTGAAAATTTTAATGAGTCAAACAAGTTCACATAAATATTTTTAACCGTAAAAATTGATAAAAATCATGATTTTATATTCTACAGAAAAATAGTTAATGTTCCAATCAAACTGAAAAACCTCAAATCGTACATGTAAGAAAATGAATGTTGTTAATCGTCAAAAGAAAGTTCAGATCTCTGTCATAACGAAGATTAATTTTGCCGTCTTCGTCCGAGTTGCATCGGCAGTCCCGGTTGCCAGTAATGAACTTTTACTATAAGCACTGACTTCTACAGTTGACTGTTTACTTGGACATTAAAACTGTATCATGCACGTAGGTACAGAATTGATAATAGACAAGAAAACCTTTCTTATGGTCATAGGTATTGTGATAGGGACACTTACATGTGAAAGTCGGGAGTTGAGAGTAGGGTGTTTGTCGTTTTCTTGAAGTACAACTTACATGTGCATTGAAATAAACCATTGTTTTCGTTTAATTAAATATTTGTATCGTAAAAGAGCTTCTGTACATTGTACTTTGCAAGTGTAAAAGTAAACTGTCAACTGTAAAAGTCAGCTATCCTGGTAAAAGTCTATTAGGGTGTGTGTTCTGTCTCTCATATGCTTTTGAAAATATATGAGACACCCAGAGTTTAACACATTGAATACGCCTGCGAAAAGTAAACTGCTTTTGTGACAAAGGCACGCGTTGTATTGTTTTTAATACTTACGTTTCCCCGGGTGTGTTAAATTGTTTAACTCTTTTCCGGCACTGAGTACGGACTAACAATACTGGTGAGTTGATTTTGCCTGTTCACATTTTTACTCTGAATAATATCCTGGATAATTTCATTGTTTTTTTTTCATGAATGAAAAATACTGAGAGGTAAATGGTAAATTATAGTTCCTACCAAAAACTTTATTTTACTAGTTTAGTTTAGTTTCACATTGCTGTTTCCCTTAGCGTCGTATGAAGTAAAGGCCATGCTGACCTCAATCTAAAGTTTTATTTAGTTTTCTTGTAGATGTAATAGTTTTCTTGCAGACATAATGGAATTTAAAATGACACGGATAATCATCCCACCGCCAGTTGTTCATCTTTTGAGCAACTACGCAGTTCTCATCTCTTCCTCCTCCTGGTTCGCCTACCCACCAAGGGCCATCAGTCACAATGGAACCTGTGGATTCATAAACATAGACTCCTTCTTGAAGCTTATCTGTTGCGCCAATCCACATGGTGGTAGAAGCTTAAAGCCAAAAAAAATATATATACATATATATATAAAGAATTTTAATTCTTCTTTTCTGTTATGTCTAATTTACTTCTATTGCTGCCGTTGATGTATATTTACTTTCCTCTTCAGGAGAGATGATGTAAACAAAAATATGGATGCCTGGATTGTTTCAAGCCCGAACTTCTACATCTACATTTGACCTTTTTTGGTTGTAAACGATTTTCGGATGATTTTCTTTTCAAATTTGATTAAATGAAAATTTTTAAGATATTTAATTTTGTATTAATTTTCTGTTACCATCCTTATTAATCAATGCAATATTTTGTCACTTAAAGTCCCAATAATTTGAAACTTCGAATGAAATATTAAACATCTAAGCGGTAAAAATATTACTCTTTATTAGTTTGACTTAATTTCTTCCTTATAGTATTTGATAAAATGTTGTTTCATCCTCTGTCCTTAAGTCAGATATTTCATGGTGTAAAGATGACGTAGTGTTATAAAGAATTAGAAAGAGAAATGCTGACCTCTCGACTTTGTAAAAGACTTTTCCTCTGGGCTTAAATCTTCAAGGATGTAAGCGCTGTCTCTAGCACAAACACGCTTTGAATAAACATTTGAAACTGTGTTAACCATCTAATCAATATAGAATATAATACAAGATTTCGAATGATTTTTAAACATCATTTTTATTTTACTCACTTGTGCTTCACTAAATGTTGCAGTGGCATTAGAAAATAAATAACAGTTATTTTCCAGAGGAACCCAAACATCAGGGCAACCTATTCAGTGTACAAAAAAAATGGGACAATGCATTTTGTAAGTCTCAACAAATTATTTTTGCATGAAGCAATTTATAATCAGTAAATCGGAACTAGAATGGCCCCTTTAGGTGTGTTATTACAATGTGTTCTTTACAAAAAATACTATACTATAAAAGTAAATAAATACCATAATTAATTTTTATCAATTAATGATATTATCTTATTTAACCCGCATAAAAAGTATGCCTACGCATCAAAATGAATTCTGACAATTTACAGATTATTCTGTATCGTAATTGTAAAATCACGGAAAAGTAGGCATTATTTAAAGATATGTGAACCTGACAAAATTATAATTAGAAAATATGGCTATCAACAGATAGAGGAGAAATTCCTTGATCAAAAAAACAACAGTTTTGATATATGTAAATGAGTTCATTTCCATGGCAACATTCCCTGAAGATGACCATGTTTAAAAAGATTAAAGCTATTCAGAAAATTACACTAAAATCAAGTCACAAAAAACTTATTAATTGCAGTTCAAATTAATTTATTTGCCCCAATATGTAAGATTAGGTCATTAACTCACTATTCTTATTTTCCATTTAAATATGATATCTAATAAGCACATGATTACAGCCTGAATTTTACCTGGCCTCTTAAAATTTGCCTATTTTTTCTCAACCTTGACTATAAATATATATGTATATAAAATCACACTTGATGTAATTAGAAATTTTATTTTCCAATTCCATTTGAAAGACGTGTAGTTTAGCTTTGTGAATGAGGAGAAAAATTGGTAAGTAAATGCATGAAAAAAATAATATGATATTCTGAATGTTCTCAGGCTTTTTTTCAAAAACTGTCCGTAAAGCACATTTATCTAGTAATAATTGATAAAAAAATCAATCCACAAATTATTCAGTTTAATTTTAGATATATAACATTAAAAAAAATCATACTTGTTCATTATTTCTAATAAGCACATAATTACAGTATGAATCACCTCTGGCCTCTTTAAAATTGCCTATTTTATCTCAGCTTTGACAATAAAAATGTTATAAAAACAAACTTTATATAATTGAAAAATTTATGTTTCAATTCCATTTAAAAAAAACAGTGATGTATAGCTACGTGAATGTAGCAAGAAAATAGAATGCACATAATTACATGTAATTAAACATAACCATATTTTCGGCGTATAAAGCTTTTTCCTTGTAAATGTATTGTTGCGTCTTCTCTACAACACATGGAGTCGCAAAACGGTTCTATGGTATGTCGTAAATTCTTGGGTTCGGTTTTATAGCCAAACAGCCAAAATTAGTATAATTCATGCGATGTTGATTCAATTTGGTTTTATTTTACTATGAAATTACTGTTTAAGATCCTTAAAACTTGTGTTTTAGTTGAGTCATATGTTCTATGGTTACGACATTGACGGTCCCATCTTCTGCAGTTCGAGTTGCCCGGTGGGTTCAAAATTGTCAGGTTCACATATCCTTGTGTAAAAAATCATCTATTGTTTTTACATGTAAAGTGTTTAGCAATGGTAAGACAAATTGTCAATATAAAAGCATAAATATTAATATCTAATGTTGGATGTTATTCGCCTGATTTTTGCTACCTGTTTATCTTCGTCGAACCAGTGGCCCAAACATTCAATTTGATAAGTACATGTATTTTTTTTCTTCTTACATTATACTTGAGAAATTCATTCATTTCAAATATACCTGTGAAAAAAATTATAGAGAATTGCAGATTCTCGATTATTTCCTTTTTTCATATATTGTTTAAATCTATAAGATGTATGTCTTGCAAGAAAGGGGCTGACTGGAAAACATTGAAATGAATTTTTTAATATACATGCATGATTCCAAAATTAAGAATAAATGTTTTTTTTTGAAAGTTTAATAGTTATATATGTAAGACTCCAAAGTGCGATGGTGACGCCAAAGTCCGATGGTGTCGCCAAACCCCGATGGTCTGCGCCAAACTCCGATGGCTCGCTGTCTTTCCGGTTGCCAAAGCCCGACGGTCACGCCAAAGCCCGATGGCTCGTTTCCTGGGAGACACGTTGCGCTAAAGTGCGATGGTCTGACACGCCAAAGTCCGATGGTGCGGATGAACAATCAACGTTTATGACGTCACAATAATCCGACGTCAATCCTTGACGCCGTTGTCCTTCATTCAAAAGCCATAATTTCTAAATTCGTCCTCGAATTCAATTTTATTGATTTTCCTTATTACTTGCAATTTCCAGGGATATTAGGGTTAGTCCTAGCACAACACTCGAGTGATTAAGTTAAGTCATTGTATTGCACAACCCGAGAGATTTAGAGTTAGTCCTCGCACACTATAGTCGAATGATTAGGGTTAGTCTTGCACCCACCCAAGATATCTAGGTTATTGTTAATGCACACTTTTCGAGCGTTTAGGGTTAATATCGCACCTATCTGAGAAATAAGGGCTAGTTTTTGCATTTATCTATTTATACTTATTTTTAAGACCTTGGCATGGTGCTGCATTGAGGTATGACGCAGTGGTACTACATGTATGACGTCATAAACGTTAATTGTTTTCCTCACCATCAGATTTTGGCGTGTCGAACCATCGGGGTTCGGCGCAGACCATCGGACTTTGGCGTGACATCGGACTTTGGAGTCCCATCGCACATTGGAGTCCTACATATATATTTAATATGTAAAAAATAATCAGTTTTTAAAACTTATTATTTTCTTTTTTTTAAAAAAGATAGGTTTTAATAGCCAGGGCATGATATTTGGACAATCCACTTTAAATAAGACTGCTATTGATTTTGAGGTCAAAAAATTTAAATATCGCATTCAGTATTTTTATTTCTCCGTTTGCTTTTGCTATCAAACTTTTTTTTAAATGTAAAGATTACAATTATCCACTCTTTAAACTTAAAACTGAACACTCAGGGCAAAAAATCTAAATGTTATTTACCTCTTTATATAATTTTAATTAGTTCTTCTATCTTCTTTTTATTCTAATGCAGAAAATACAATTTCACTGAATATTTTATTTTTTATTTTTACCAATTTTTATTTTTCAACAATTTACCTTAAAAACATACTTAAAGCCGGTTTTGTTAAAACTATAAAATATATCAAGATAAATGAATCTGTCTAACGTTAAAAAATAAAATAGGAAGGTTTTTTGCTTTAAAAATAATAGAAGTAAAACACGTAGTTGTCGCTTCTTGTTTCAACATATGCACACATGTACTTATACAATATTCTTTGTGGTATAGAAGATAAAACACTTTTTTCAAGTTTTTTTGAATTTACAGTTATCCCAGTTATCCCACCTTTACAGTTTTGAAGTTTTTCTTGCTGGCTGTTCATTTGCTTCTGTAACAACTGTTCTTTGTCTATGAGAAGAAACATTAACAGATTGCACATCCTACACGTCCTTGATCTGTATGCAGTTTATTAATCTTTAGTTTAAACTTATCACGACTGTATTTATGTGCAACATAATAAATGAATATCTTAATTTAAAAGATTTAAAGACACATATAAAGTAAATACTGGAGAGATTGGCGTTCTTTTCCCGTAGACTGCTCACTTCCAGTCGTAAAATCTTTTCCCATTCTGACAAAAAGATAAAATATAAAAACTCATCTAAGATATAAATGGAAAATATTGCCATTAATATCATTTATTTCAATATGATTGGTATCACTTTTGGCAAATACCAATTATTAGGTTTAATGTGATGTTTATGGCCACATTAAGGATACGTTTTCTTGATATTGCTTTGAAAAACAATAACATGGAGATATAATATTATTATACTCAACTTGATTGATTAATTGATTGTATGTTGTTTAACGTCCCTCTCGAGAATTTTTCACTCATATGAAGACGCCACCACTTGCCGGTGGAGAGCTACAAATTATGTCCTATACTCGGCACTGAGGGCCATTGAGCAGTGAAACATGTTTTATACGGTCTCATCCGAGGGACCAGTCTCTACCTCCCATTGTGGGATTCGAACCCGCTACGTAAGGATCGACTCCTTACCTTGCTACTCTAGAGCAGACGCTCTAACCACTGAAACAATCAGGCGACTACCAACTTGAAATGCAGGGGGTTCTATAGTGATAGGGGTGTTCGTTTGTCCGTCTAGCTGTACGTCCGTTAGTTTCACTTAAGGGTATTTTATATCTTATATCCTCTAAAAACACTGAATGAAATTTAATGATATTTTCATAGAATTTTTTCTGGATAATGTCATTGTGCACCTCTTTTTTCACTTTTTAATCGGACACATATTTTTTGTTTACTACCTAAGCAAAAAAAAAAAAAAAAAAAAAAAAAACAATGGAGACTGCAATTCTTTTTAATAATATTGAAGGGGATTTGTCTCTTATCCGCAACTTTTTTTTATATCTCTGAAATGATTTGATTGATGGTTTCACCGATTCTTTATTATATGTACGTAGTTTCTTTGTAAAACTCTAATTTTACTTTGACACTTTTTGGGAATCGAAAAGCAAAATATGTATCTTACCATTCTAAGTATATTTGGGATAGGTGATATCGTTTTGTAAGCGCAATACTTACAGTACCCATAGTTCTAACTTACATTTGAAGTTTATCAGTCAACATTATTTTAATTCGTGCCGAATGGAAAAATGGTGTATATTTTGCTTATTTTCGTAGCATCCATATAACATGAATATCAGATATTGAAAATTTCTGCTCAATGCATTTAAGAACTGGAATTTTCCTTGGAAAGAACATTTAAAAAAAACCCGGAATGTTCTTAGGAAAGCATGTTTTAGAAAATCGGAATGTTTCACCTGCTTTGTAGTTTCATTAAAGATATAAATAAATCTTACAGTGGCCAGTGTTTCTTTTATTTATTGTTAGCATATTAGTTCATGCATTTGTCTGCAAAGAAAAAAAATACTATCCACCAAAAGTATAGACTGCTATAGAATCGGAGAAAAAATGTTACATCCTAAACGTCAAATGAATAATTAAGGGGGCCGACTGTTTTTCTATAGCGCAATATATCGCCCATCACAGTAAAATGAAGGGTATTTACTGTTTCAAAACAACTTTTTTCACTTGATTAATAAAACTAAAGAAAATTAAGAAGTTAAGGGTCGAAAAATTTATTATAATTTGAAAAAAAAAAAAAATGCTTTTTAAGGTGTATTTCAAACTGACAGGTAGATTGGCTTCGTAATAGTGTGTTTTTGACGTTAGATAACGTGACGCTCGTAAAGATGAGGTAATAAAAATGTTATATAAGTAATAAATATATTCTCTTGAAATTTAAAACATAGGATTTTGATAATCTCTCCGTCATAATTATAATTTTTTGTGTGAAACCTTTGTATACGTCACATTTTGTAGTACTCTATAAAAACAAGGAAATTCGTCATTTTTGGTATTTTGAGATGGCCTCTCTGGAAAAAAGGCGGTAGAATTTTGCGGTTCTTATTTATAATGTACAATATAGTATTACTCATCAAAAAATATAGTTTGAGCAAAAAGTCTATAGTTGTTTTTGTATAATTTTCTTTAAAGTGCAAAAAATAGGCACATTTCCGTGTAATCCTATAGTAAATGTACCTGTATTTTGAGACGGTCCCTTAAAAATACCTGAGCGGTAGATTTTCCCCAAACTTTGCATGTACACTAAAGTTCACGTAAGTTGTATATGGTAAAAAATGAATAGATTCAAGAGTTTTTTACACAGTAAAACCCCATTCGGCCCCCTTAAATTAGAAATAACGTTGATCATTTTATTCATACGTATTTCCAACAATATCCAACAAAAGAGATTTTTGTCCGTCTTTACTGCAGTCTATACGATTTACTGCAGAATATCGATCCCAAGGCATTTCCATAGTATTTAATAAATGTTTGTGATCACTGAATATCATTCGGTCTCAAAATAGAGTATCATGAGCTCATAAAATGATATAAATGCTATTTTTTTCAATTTTTTTGCAAAATAGGTCACAGGTCGAGTTCAAACAGATTGCAGCGCTGATATATTTGCTAATGTCTCATGATAAACCATGTACAGCTGTACCCATTCAATTGCAAAAACTCACCTCTTAAATATCAAATGTATATCGTCACTAAAGCTATCTTTAAAAGTTGATCATTGGTCAAGGTCAAATGCCTCAAGATGAGTAATCAAAGTAATTTACAAATCCTATGTTGCCAAGCAATGCATAATCAAAATATAAAATCCACGACTCTAATAATTCACGATATATAGGTCGTGACAGACGGTCAGAAAGCTAGATAGACAGAAACAATGGAATGCGATACCTATAGTTGCTGCTCTACAGGCAACAAAAAATAATCAATTCGGAATATTTTTTCTACATAAGGTTCTCTCATTTAATGGGTCCTTGATTAAAACGCACTCCTTTGCTCACAGAATGACGAAAAATGATTCCTTTTGAGTTTGAAACTTTAAAGCAAAACATAACTTCGATATAGAAAATGTGGTTGAAGAACTGGGTTAGTTTTTATCAAATAAAAGATGTATTCACAATTTCAAAAGAGCCGACCAAAAGGAGATACATATAATTTCCGGAAAAAAATTGACATTTAGAAATCAATGTTTATAACTTGTTTTCAATGTATAAATGTCCATTTTACCCAATTGGTATTTAACACTAAAAGTTTTTCCAATAGTTTTTAATGTAAAGTTTTGTAAAGTTTTAAAATTGCATCTTTAGAAAAACCTTTCACGTTGGCCGAACAGCATTTTGTCCGTTAATGTGCCAAGTTCATCACGGACTTTGGCTTAGAAGACCTTATGAAATTGAGAGATTTTGGTTGGTTGGATGTAAGTTTAAGATAAAAATATTGAAGGGCATCCCTACTCTACAATCGATATTCACCAAAACAATTACAAAAAAGGAAACCTGACTTTGAAAATATGGTTCGCATTTACACCATTTATTCCTTTAGTCAGGATAGCTCAATTGATCTAAGTGCTGACGATTCACAGCGTCGGTATTATTTTTTTTTACTGTCTGGGATTTGAATCGACCTAGTGCCACACTTTTATAGTTTTAAAATTCGACTCTTCACAGACTATATTTTTTAAATAGGTTTGTGTATTTTCTTTCTATTATTAATCCAGTTACACTGTAGCATGCCCTTTTTACGATATTAGAAACACTAAAAAAGCAATCACTACAGATACTAAAGAATGATACTTCTAATTTTATTTTTAAAATATTAACAAGTTGGTGGGAAACTATAATTTATTTTCGTTTTACAAGATTCTTCTAATTTAGACAATAACAGAAGTGTTAGTGCGGAGCACAAATGTTCCTGGACATTATAAGAAAAAAAAAATATTTAAACACAATAACCACCTACCAGTTAAGTTTCCAATTTGTTCTTGCAAGCCAGATAATTCTTCTTTGAGGACCTGATTTTGTTCTATTTTAAAAATACAAATTCAGTTGATATCATTTCATACATAAGCCCCTTGAGGCAAGCTCAGAAAAAAATATTGCGTTTAAACGCAATGATTATTGCGTTCAATCGCAAATCTTTTCGTTTAATCGCAATAAGTATTGCGATTAAAAGCAAAACACTTTGCATTTAATTGCAAAAGATTGCAATTAAACGCAATAATATTTCGATTTCACGCAATAATTTTTGCGTTTAAATGCAATAATATTGCGTTTTAACTCAACAGTTCTTGCGTTTAATCGCATTTTTTTTTCGTTTAATCGCAATATTTTTTGCGTTGAATCGCAATAATTAATTGTTGCATTTAAATGCAATACTCTTTGCATTTTATCGCAATAATCCTTCCTTTAAAGATTTATTTTGCATTTAAACACAATGATTCAGTGCTGTAGTTTGAAATCAAACATTGGCTAGCCAAAAATTATTATGAATACTATGGTCTGATTCTTTAAAGAAGAACAGTTTGGTTATGTGTCTTGTTGCAAAATCTTGCAGTTTGTGAGATTTGAAATTTTACAATGGCATCCTAAGTAAACAACCAGAGTTTCTTATGCCTATTAGAATCCGACACTTTTTACGCAGCTATTAATCAATTCCTTAGGTATCACAGCAAATTAAGAATGCTTTAATGTTATTAATAGCCATATCAATTTGGTAGTACACATCGATCAGTATGTTTTCATTTGATTTATTTTTGATTTCATATGATTCCATCTCCTAGATTCTCGTGCTCTCGTGTTTACTGTATGTGATCAAAGGAAATGTTGTGAATATACATATACATAATATGTATATGTACATAAACATAAGTCTAAACATTTCATCAGTCGTTTCCTTAAGCC